CTCTATGTCCTCCAAAAACAATTCTAAGATGATAAAAACAGCCATTCCTATGTGTCAAGTTCTTTTTCAGAGCCATGCCCTGTTGTAAGCACTGTACACAATTCCTTGGAGTTTAATCCTTACAACAACACTACAAGGTAAAAGCTATTATTATTATTTTTAAAATATATTTTATTGATTTTTTACAGAGAGGAAGGGAGAGAGATAGAGTTAGAAACATTGATGAGAGAGAAACATCAATTAGCTGCCTCCTGCACACTCCCTACTGGGTATGTGTCCGCAACCAAGGTACATGCCCTTGACCGGAATCGAACCCGGGACCCTTGAGTCCGCAGGCCGACATTCTATCCACTGAGCCAAACTGGTTAGGGCGCTATTATTATTTTTTAAAATATATTTTTATTGATTTCAGAGAGAAAGGAAGAGGGAGAGGTAGAAACATCCATGATGAGAATCATGGATCAGCTGCCTCCTGCAAGTCCCCCACTGGGGATCGAGCCCACAACCCGGGCATGTGCCCTTGACTGGAATCGAACCTGGGGCCTTTCAGTTCGCAGGCCGACGCTCTATCCACTGAGCAACACCGGCTAGGGCTAAAGGCTATTATTGTGCCCTTATTTTTATAGATGAGGAAACTGAGGATCAGGGCTGGGGAGTCACCTGATCAAGGTCACACAGCTAGGAACCGGAAGGGCAGGACTCGAACACAGCTCTGACCCCAGGGCCTGTGCTCTCAATGACGCACCTGGGTGTCATTTCTGTTACTGACACCCATTTCCAGCAGCACCCGCATGCCCGTGCTTGCACTCACTGAAAAGAATAGATACAGCCACACACAACCTTCCTGAGAGGCAAGAGGGCCCCTGAGTATGAACATGGGAGCTGAGGGCAGCAGACTTGGACAGGAGGCTTGCTCTCTCTGAGCCTCCGTTTTCTCCTCCGGAGTACGGACTGCATCATGGTCATTTCTGTTCACAGCCTCAAATTGGTCACACAGTGTGACAGGGCACCGGACACACCACAAAGAATCGCAGACCCCATCCCGCAGTGGGGAGTGATCACTGTTCATTTTACCGTCACTTCCCACGGGTCGGCTCCGTGCCAGGCAGTGCGCTAGCTGCGGTGGGAAGGGCAGACCCTGCCCTGGCCTCCTGGAGCTCAGGGTCCGCTGGAGAGACAGTCACTGCGCATGGCCGTACCCACGTGCTGGGGTTACGGCGTGGGGAGTTCTCACACGGCTGCTTCCAGGGCCCAACACTCTGTAGTGGGTTGAGTGGTGGCCCCCCACAAAGATATGTCCCTGGAACCTGTGAACGTAACCTCATTTGGAAAAGGGTCTTTGCAGATGTAATTAAGAGAAGGATCTTGCCCGGCCGGTGTGGCTCAGTGGTTGAGTGTCGACCTATGAACCAGGAGGTCACGGCTCGATTCCAGGTCAGGGCACATGCCCGAGTTGTGGGCTTGGTCCCAGTGTGGGGCGTGCAGGAGGCAGCTGATCAATGATTCTCTCTCATCATTGATGTTTCTGTCTCTCCCTCTCCCTTCCTCTCTGAAATCAATTAAAAAGCATATATATATATATATATATATATATATATGAAAAAAAAAAGGATCTTGCCCTGGCCGGTGTGGCTCAGTTTGGTTGAAGCATTATCCTGTACACCAAAAGGCTGTGGGTTCGATTCCCCGTCAAGGCAATACCCAGGTTTTTGGTTCAATCCCTGGGGCTCCTGCAAAAGGCAACCAATTGATGTTTCACTCTCACTTTGGTGTCTCTCTCTCTCTCTCTCTCTCTCTCTCTCTCTCTCTCTTTCTCTCTCCTTCCCTCTCCATTCCTTTTTCTAAAACTAAAAAAGAAAAAAGATAAGCACCCTGAATTACTCTTGTGGGCTCTAAACCCAATGACAAGTGTCGTCATCAGAGACAGAAGAGGAGACACAGACACACAGAGGAGACACAGACACAGAGGAGAAGGCTGTGTGAAGATGGAGACAGCTTGGAGATGCAGCCACAGGCTGAGAAATGGCTGGAGCCACCAGAAGCGGGAAGAGGCGAGGAAGAATTCTTCCTAGCCTTGGCTGGGTGGCTTGATTGGGTGGAGTACACCAAAAGATTTTGGGTTCAATTCCTGGGCAAGGCACAAACCTAGGTTGCAAGTTCGATCCCCAGTCAGGGTATGTGCAGGAGGCAACGGATTGATGTTTCTCTCTCATGTTGACGTTTCTCTCTCTCTCTGAAAATCAATAAAACCATATCCTCCGGTGAGGATTAAAAATATCCTATGTAATAAAAGCCTAATATGCTAAGTGTCCGACCGTTTGACCACTCGCTATGATGTGCACTGACCACCAGGGGGTAGACGCTCCGACCGGTAGGTTAGCTTGCTGCTGGGGTTCGGTGGATCGGACACGCCGTGGAGCCCTCCTGCGGTCCCTCCCCAGCCCCGATCATGCTCTGGTGGGGTCCCTCGGCCTAGCCTGAGCCCTCTTGCAATCTGGGACCCCTTGGGGGATGTCAGAGAGCTGGTTTCAGCCCAATCCCCACAGGCCAGGCCGAGGGACCCCACCAGTACACGAATCCATGCACCAGGCCTCTAGTAAATAGATAGACAGACAGACAGATAGATAGATAGATAGATAGATAGATAGATAAATAAATAAAATTCTCCCCTAGAACCATTGGAGAGTGTGGCTCTGCCCACACCTTGATTTTAGACTTCTGGCTTCCAGAACTGTGAGAGAATACATTTCTGTTTTAAGTCACCAAGTTAGCGGTCGTTAAGCCAATATACCTTCCAAGTCAGCGGCTCTAGGGACACCATCGCCCAGAAACAGGGTCAGAAACACAGCCACATGGTCACAAACACACTGAAGTCAGGAGAGCACAGGTCACCCAGTCAGAGCTGACCCGGAAGTGGGCGTGCATGGGTGTGTGTACATGCGTTCACACACACATTTGTACACCCAGCCATTCACGGAACCCAGCAGTGCCTTCCAGTAAGATGTTAAGGCAGTTGGCCCCACAGATACAACATGTGGTAGGAGTCATGGCAGCAGAAATGTTCACAAGTGCCAGGTCTTATGAAAACCCCAGGGCCCAGCCAGGTCCCCAGACTAAAGAAAAACAGCCCAGCCCTAGCTGGTTTGGCTCAGTGGATAGAGTGTCCGCCTGCAGACAGAAAGAAGGGTTCTGGGTTTCGATTCTGGCCAACGGCACATGCCCCAGTTGTGGGCTCCTCAGTCGCCAGTAGGGGGCGTGCAGGAGGCAGCCGATCAATGATCCTCTCTCATCATTGATGTTCCTCTCTCTTCCTCTCTGAAATCAGTAAGAAACAATATTAGAAAAAACAAACAGCCCCAGCTGGTTTGGCTGAGTGGATGGAGCGTTGGCCTGCGGACTGAAGGGTCCCGGGTTCGATTCCGGTCAGGGGCATGTGCCTTGGTTGCGGGCACATCCCCAGTTTGGGGTGTGCAGGAGGCAGCTGATCGATGTTTCTCTCTCATCGAGGTTTCTGACTCTCTGTCCCTCTTCCTTCCTCTGTAAAAAGTCAATAAAATATATTTAAAAAAAGAAAAGAAAAAGCAAAACAGCACTTACCATTACTCAGAAACACATGATCACTCATGAAGACCTATACAATGGGACCAAGGTCATCAGCTTCTCTCAAAGGACAGCCCTTTCTTCAAGGCCAGGGGTAGTGGGGGCTGTTAGAGCTCCAGTCCTTCCTCAGGGGTTCCAGCTTGTCCCTGCTGTCCCCACTGCACACCCATCTTCCCTTCCTGAAGATCAGTCAATTCCTGTAGCAAATTTCTTACCCATATAGCAATCTCCTAGCAACGCTGATTCTCTGATTGAACCTGGGGTCAGCTGACTCAAGGCTCCTAACGATATCCTCCCCGTCCTAATCCCTGGAATCTGTGATGTCACTTTACGTGGCAAAGGGACTTTACAGACTGGATGAGGTTAAGGACCTTGAGATGGAGATTATCCTGGGTCCAATGTAATCACAGGGTCCTCCCAAGAGGAAGGCAGGAGATTAGAGTAGATGTATAGATGGAAGCAAAAGGTTGTAGACACAAGGAAGGGGCCAGGAGCCAAGGAATGCAGGCCAACCTCTAGGAGCTGGAGAATGCAAGGGAACGGATTCTCCCCTAGAGCCGCCCGAAGGAACCAGCCCTGCGGACACCTTGGCTCAGTGAAACTGATTTTACACTTTTTTTTTAATATGTCTTTATTGATTTTTAGAGAAAGAGGAAGGGAGAGAGATAGATAGAAACAGCAATAGGAGAGAAACATCATCCATCGACTGCCTCCTGCACGCCCCCTACTGGGGATCGAGCCTGCAACCTGGGCATGTGCCCTGACCAGGAATTGAACCAGCGACCTCTTGGTTCCTGGGTCGACACGGAACCACTGAGCCACCCCTGCTGGGCGGATTTTACACTTCTGACCTCCAGGAGTATAAGACAATACACTTGTGTTGTTTTAAGCCACTGAATTTGTGGTGCTTTGTTAGCGTGGTAACAGGAAAGGAATGCTTGATTCACAGGAGATGTGTCCACAGAGTCAAGGCACAGACATTGTATTCAGGGGGCCGAGAGCCACTGAGTAAAATGTGACACACCAAGAGAGGCAGGCACACAGAAACAATCATACGACGACCGCAGGTCTCACAAATGCCACAGAGACAACCGCAGTGTCACACACCAGTCATCTGTGGCACTCCTCGGGAAAAACACACACCCAGGGTCACTGCGGAGTGCAACAGGGTCTCCTGGAAAAACGTCACACGTTCGGTCATCCCCGAAAACAACGGCTCAGCCACACCATGACAGAACATCCGAACACGCCGGAAATCCTGGAGTCACTCACACATGCCATCACCCTTCTGAGACTCACAGGTCACTCGTGGAGGCAGCGGGGTCCGGCTTTCAGGTGGGTGCCCACACAAGCACACTTCTCCAGACCTCCTCATGAAAGCGGTCCAGCCACGCCAGGGATATGTTACAAAAATAGTTTATTACAAAAGAAATCCAACCAAAAATGCCTAATAATTTACATCGTCATAAGTGCCCCGCTGCAGTCCCGTCTCTCCCTCCTCATGGGCGGAGGGCAGAGGGAGCAGCTGTTCCCCGGTTCCACCAGCTCTGAGGGAGGAGAAGGAAATACATGATTGAGTGGGATTCCAGACAGGAGATTGGTGCCTGAGGAGAACAGGGGGAAGAGTCCTGGGCGGAAGACGGAAGACGAGGTGGGGGGATATCTGTGCTCAAAAGAGGGGGCAAATGCATGTGCAAATCCTGGTTCGAAGATTGGGGGGGGGGGCAGAGTGAGATCTTCACAGTTTCCAGGAGGGCTGACTCCTCAAGGGCAGGGAGGTCCCTCCTCATGAGTCCAAGATCTGCCCCCCCATCCCTCTCAGCTGCCCCCTGGAGCTGGAGGGGGAGGCACCGGCCGGCCAGGGGCTTGGAGGACCCCGACAAAGGGCAGGAAGGCAGGTGGAGATGAGGGAGAGAGGAAGAAATTGTGGGGAGCCATGGGAAATCCAAGGGGATCCTTGGGAGGAGACTGGGAAGGCGAGGAGGATGGTGATGCAGAGAGAAGACCTGTGGGAAGAAGAGAGAAGGCGGGTGAGGGCAGTGAGAGACTAGATCCAGAGAGAAGGGGGCCGGGCCCCAACTCCTGGGTTCGGAGGGGCGCAGGGCCTGGAAGGTCGGGAGGAAGGAGGGAGCTGGGGCTGGAGCTGGTTTCTCACCATTGGAGCTGAGGCGGCTGCTGCTCTCCGGGGAGGTGGTGGCACTCCGGTCAGGGGAGGGCTCTGGCTGTGACGCAGGCGCAGGCCGCGTGGCCTTCCCTCTCAGGATGTCGATGACCTGCAGGAAGATGGGGGTCACCACCAGGCCCCCCCTCCCTCCACCTCCACTTGCTCAAGGGTCTGTCAGCGAGCACAGCAGCAGGTGAAGGTGGGCACGTTGCCTCCTTTCTTGGTGCCTCAGGCTCTCCTCCTGTCTAGACCTCACACCCACCCTCTGCGCTCCACGCCTGGGCACAGACGCACACGCACACACACCCCCCTGGGTCAGACTCCCCCAGCCCCGCACCCCACCACCGCGCACACTCACCCGGCGGCTGCGCGCCACCATGAGCGGCGTGTCGTTGTGACAGTTCTTGAGGCTGCTGTCGGCGCCGCTGCGGACCAGCGTGCGCACCAGCGGCAGGAGCCCGCGGCCCGACGCCGAGTGCAGCGCGGAGCTGCCCGAGTACATCTGCGCGTTCACGTTGGCGCCGTGCTGCGGGGTGGAGGGGCGGGTCAGGACCAACCCCCGCCCGGACCCAGGGCGATGGGGGCGGAGCCAGAGGGAGGGGCGGAGCCAGTGGGAGGGGCGGAGCCAGAGCCCGGGGCAGGACCACCCCGCGCCCGGACCCAGGGTGATGGGGGCGGGGCCAGGGTGAGGGGCGGGGCCAGAACCCGGGTCAGGACCACCCCGCGCCCGGACCCAGGGTGACGGGGCGGGGCCAGGGGAGGGGCGGGGCCAGAGCCCGGGGCTGGACCACTCGGGGGCTGGTGATGGAGAGAAGGATGGGAGCTAGAATCCCCGACGGGTCAGCGCGGGACTAGGCGCGGCGCTGAATCAAACC